GAGGGAGGGAGGGAGGGAGGGAGGGAGGGAAAGAAAAGAGCAAAGCATAATAAATGATAAGGAAGAAATAAGCTTTTACCTGAAACAGTATCTTTCTAAAAATATTCCCAGTGTAAGATCATTCTTTCCATAAAATTCCATTGTTACAATCCTAAAAGAAGAGATCATTTCTTAGAAATATGTCAACATTACCACTAAGACCACCATATTCTAATTATTATATGCTTATAGTGAAGTAATAAAGCAAATCATATATACTGTTGCTACAGAACAGGTTTTACTTCACCCTGTCAAACAAGTGTAGATTAGCCACACCATAGCATCTTTTCCACTCCCAACCCATTAATATCTTATGAAATCATTTAATGAGTGCATAAACCATAAAAACAAATTGAATAAAACTGATTTATGAGGAAGAGATAAAATCATCTGTCACAGTTTCACTCCTCATCAACACTGGGGGTGGGGGTGGGGTGGTGCCCATCTGCCCTCTAGTCCCTGTCTTCACTGAGTGTAGAGAGCAGCAGCTAGCTCTCACTCTTAATAAGGAGCCGGCTCCGAACTGAACTGAACTCACAACTGCCCAAAATTAGACTTTGAACGTGTGCTTGTTGAAACCAGTATCCTCTTCTAGAATTACTGAAGGAGTCCATTAAATTCTGAGAAAAATTCTATGGGCTTTCAGAAAGCCAGGCTTAAAGCTGTCCTGGAACTACATGTTTCAAGAAAATAAGTGCTACCAACCCCCCACCACCACCGCCCATACACACACACAGCTGTATATGTGCACACAGGGAGGAGTGGAGGAGATGACACAAGCAAGCTTCTCCTGCCACGGGAACTGCTGTGGGAAGACCCCACTGTGGTGGCGCAGCCCCTGCCTACACCGCAGGAGGACAGTGGAGCAGAGCACCCGCAGCCACGCCTTCTTTGTTCTCGTCTGAATGATGACCTCATGTGATCAGTTACTTTAAGCTGCAGCGGCTGTGACTTTCCCTGCCATGATGGACAGGAGACAAATAAACCCTTTCTCCTTTATGTTGCTTTTAACAGAGAGTTGTTTAGCCCAGCAACAAAACAAACAAACCCTAAGACAGGGATGTAAGGTTTTTGCGACCATCACTGGAAATATTACATTATAAAATGTATTTGTCTCTATAAATTTACTTAGATGTTCCCAAGAAGAATGTACTAAGACAAAATGCCAGTATGTAGTATAGCTCAGTAACAAAACTACAAACACTAAGATAAAAGGCTGATTGCTTTTATAAAAATTATTCAACATGAAAACTCACCTAAACTGCACATGATAGAATCAAAATGTAGCTTTTAGCTTTTATAAACCAGTTTTTGCAGGTCAACTTTGCAACCTTTGTAAAGTAAAAATTTCTTTTTCTCTCTCAAACTATCTTCACTCTTGTTTAAGGTACTACTTTTTTACCCACGAACAAATTTCAGTTACTCAAGTGTAAACATCCTACTGTATGGGATGTGACCATCAATGTGCTGTGTACCCAATAGCAGGAATTGTATTTCATGTAGCAATAGGGCAGGGAGAAGCGGCGTACCAAGGGCTGACACAAGCGCTGGGAGCATTGCTGGACTGGGCCGAGGAGCTGCTGAAGAGGACACAGAGCCTCTGGTGGTTGGCAGGATTCAGGCAGTCCACCTGTAGGACAAGGACAGGAGAGCACCTGAGTGGGAACACAATGGCTATCAGGTCACTGACCTACACCACATTCCATTCTGTCAACAGAGCCGCCTGGGAAGAGTTAAAAAGCTGGGTTTTGACCAAAGACAATTTCAAAACTCCAAAGTAAACGTGAAAGCATAAAATAACTGGGCTGGAAATGGACCGTCGATCAGGCCCTGGGTCAATCCCAGCACTGTGCTTCAAAGTGGGAGACGACTAAGAAGCTTGTTTCTTAACATAAACACTCCATTTTTTTTTTCAAAATTGTATATTTTGGAAGAGCTAATTAACTAAAATATTTTCCTATGGAACATTATTAAAGTGGATGGCTATGGCATCAATCGGTGGTGTCTAGAAACCTAATTCTAAGGTATTCTTTTACCTGTGCTTGCGCCTGTTTTTAAACACACCTGTTCCCTGTTAAAATCAAGTAGTAGAGTTACATAATGTAAAGTTCTTCCTTCTTGGATGTCCCCCACCTCTCAAACTAAAGTTTATAAAGCTACTCAGACCAGCATGGTAGCACATGGAAATCCCAGCACTTAGGAGGCAGAGTCAAGAGGATCAAGAATTTAATATCTTCATCAGCTGGATCTTGAGTTTGAGGCCCAACCTAGACAGTGAGAAATCCTAAATCAAACAAACACCAAAAGGAAAATCACTTTTTCTTTATTCACGTTATTTGCCTTTACATACATGCACAATCGCACATGTACATACGCACACAAATACACTCAGGTGATTTTGTTTTCATTAAGATGAGATAGGCTACAAAATATATTACTATAACTTGCTTTTGAAAGGTACATGCTAAAATATAAGCATTAGTGTTTTATTCTAATAAGTAATAAAACTTTAAAGTTGCATTAAAAAAAACATTCAAAACCCACCCTTTAGCCGGGTGGTGGCGGCAAATGCCTTTAATCCCAGCAATCGGGAGGCAGAGGCAGGCAGATCTCTGTGAGTTTGAGGCCAGAACTCGATCTACAGAGTTAGTTCCAGGACAGCTAGGGCTGCCGCACAGAGAAACCCTGTCTCAGGATAGAAAAAAAAAAAAAATCTGGTACGGGTTGAATATGTGTGACTGATGCCCCTGCCCAAGAATCCTGTATTTAAGGTGTGTCCCTCAGCTGGGAAACTAAAAGGTGAGGCCTCCATGAAGGAAACAGGTCACTGGAGGTGTCTCTTTGAACACTGTATCTCATCCCAGGCCCTCCTATTTCTCTCTGCTTCCTGTCTGCTGTACCATCTAACTACCACGAATAATGGAGGCAAGGAGGATGGGCTGAAACCTATGAAATCATGAGCTAAAGTAAACACTCTTAAACTGTTTAATGTCAGGTATTTGCCACATCTGCAAAATATAATGTTTTGCTACAAAAAAAAATGGATGTAGTACTTCAACAAACACCCTTGTACATATATTCTTACAACAAGCAAGCATCCTACAGAGAAGTATTTAATTTGTTCTGCAATAGAGAAGGCGGAATCCTGAGTCAAAGGTAAGAAATGTACATTTAAAGTGAGAGAAACCTCCTTATCACTTTCTGTACATTTCAACAGGGATGTATAGACATACACGTATAGTACAGTGAGAGAAACCTCGTTATCACTTTTAGACATTTGTACACTTAGACAAAGCATTCAAAATTTCTTGACTCTCCCTAACCACGGTTCTTTTCATGAGTCTCAAAAAACATTTAGCACTTCCTTGACTATCAGTGAAACTAGATGTCTTTTTATTAGTTTCACTACTAGTAATGTATCCATCCACAAGTAAATCTTCTTTAAATATCTTTCATTTCTAATTAAACAAAAAAGATCACTGTCAAAGTTAAATGACAATATAAACTTTTTACTCTTAAATAACTTTCTTAAAACAGGTCCATTTTCAATAACAAATTTCCATCTCTCATAAGACTATGATCAAACAATAGAGCTAGTTGTGCTGGTACAGAGGTATAATCCTAGCATAAAGTGGTACAGGCAAGACGACTGTGAACTTAAGAGTAAACCAGGACCACATAATGAGACCTGTGAAGGTTAGCTTAATTGCTATCTTGATACAATTTAAAATCAACTAGGAAGAAGAGTCTCAAGGAAGGATTATATATACTGGGTTGGAATATGGGCACATCTGAGTGACTGTCTTAAGTTAAAATGTGTGGAGACCCAGTCCACTGTAGGTGGCACCATTCCCTAGCAAAAGATCCGAAACTATTAGGAATGGAGGAGAATAGAACTGAACACAAACAAGCAAGCAGCATATATGCATTTATTTCTCTTTGTTCTTGACGGTGGTATCATAAATTGCTTCTTCCTGCTGCCCTGACTTCCCCTTATAATGGACTATAACCTAGAATTACAAGCTAAATAAACTCTTCCATATGTTACCTTTTTTTTTTTTCAGGTATTTGACCATAGCAACAACAAAAACGGAAAGTAAAGACCTATCTTAAAACACTGAAAAAAGTCAAGAGCTACATCACACCACATATAAGCAATACAGATATAAACTTCAAGCAATTGCTCACTTTCCCTTAACTGAGGTCCTTCCTACTTTACTACATGCGCATATTAAAATCCAAAATCCCAGTTTTGTTCCCTTATGAATCCACTTTTATACTTTATACATAAATGCCATCCAACTCAAGAAGAAAAATAAGCAGAAGAGTAAACATTTAATAAACCTATGCAATCTGTCATAGTGATTTTTTTAATCTTGCATCTTACCTTTGTCGCCCATAAGGCATCGCTTGGGACCAACCCCTTCTCTTCATCACTCTCAGTTTTGTTTCCCGATTTGCATCCTGAAGTACATGATGCATCTTTTGAATGGACAAAAGGGTCCAAATGTTTTGACTGAATTCTTCCTCCTCTAGCTCGATAATCAGCCAGCATTCTGCCCAAGCTCTGGCTATCACCGAGATGCTCAGCGATCCTGGTGCTCACTAGCTCATGTGAAGGTAAGACTTGAATAGACTTGGCCTGAACACTGCCATTCATGCCCTGAAGTCCAGAGAGATCCCTGAGCAGCTGTTTCTTCCTCCTGAGAGCCATTTCCTTCACCTCCTTGTTGAGGAGAGGAGACCAGTAAATCTGCTCTGGAAAATAATCTCGAGTTGAGCACCTCATCCCCTTTTCAGTTAAAAGGAAAGGTTCCCGGAATGTAATAACTGGAGAGATACAGAGGATCACGTCTTTTAATTCTTGTTTAAATGTCAAAGAGTAAGTCTTTCGTTTATCTTCAGAGGAGGTGACTTCCTCAGTAATGTACATCCCAGTGTCATCCTGTAGGGGGTCTCTAAAGACTCTTATCTGGCTTTTGGGATCCTGGTGTTCATCTGTTTGCTGCGATGTCTCCGGCTCTTCATGTCCTATAGCATCCTGTTGATCCATATGGAGAGGCAACAAGGATTCAGGTACCAACGCAAAGAGAGCACAGGGAATACCTGCTGGGCAAGTGGGTGCAGAGTAATCTTGATGTTTCACAGAGGCAACCGCCTGGGGAACACTTTTACTGTCCTGCTCACCCTTCTCAAGCATAATCCTTGATTCCAACAAAGTGCTATCATCAGAAGACAGGGAGTCAGGAGGGCACTCTGGGTCCTGGGGAAGGGAGCTGCCACTGCACTGCTCCTGGGGCACTCCTTCTTCCCCTCGGCCCTCAGACAGAGAATGGAATGAAGGGCTTTGCATTAAAGTTGGAGGCATAGCAAACTCATCCATGAGAAAGGAGATTTCTAGCTGAGAATGATAAGCTACGCAGATCATAAATATTAGGATCTCCTTAACTCGAGCCAGCTCATAATCGGAGCCTCCTCTGAGCTTGATTGTACATCCTAGGTGCTGTGGACAGCCTTCAAAAAACATCAGTGTTTTGGTTTGTTCTACAAATAAACAAAATTAAGAGACTTAGGTGAAAATCCAGAGAACCAGAGAAAATTTATTACCAACAGAAAAGAAAATCCTTACAGGAATAAAACCACACTGAATCATTCTCTCTCCACCAATGCTAACAGATATTAATACTTCCTGAGTAAACAATACTATACTTAACTAGGAGTTGATTCATTTCTTGAGATTCCCCAAGCTAAGTGAATGTATGTTTAAGATGACTCACCATTAGGTAACTGAAATATCTGCATATAAAATTTGTGGCAAGTGCCCAGGTGTGGTTTAGTGAGCAGCTGGTCCATGGACACCACTAAATCACCTTGGGTCATTCGACTGATTCGTTCTAAAACTTGCTACAACACAGAAAAACAGTGTATTACAGAATTGGCTATGAGTAAAATTCTTAATAAATTTAACCTGAAAAAGTACATGAAGTATTAAAATAAAATAATGTTCACAATCAGTTTCCTTAATTTTAATAATTATATGACTTTTTAATTCAGTATTAGATCAAATCTGCTTGCTAAATAACCAGCGTATGGCCTCAAAAACAAACCATGCTCGCTGTAACATCATCACAAGATGCGCATGGTATGGTGGTGCACCTGTATAGCCCCAGCACTTGGGAGACAGAAGACATAGGACCAGTGCAAGTCTAAGGTCAAACTGATTAGTGAGTTCCAGACCTCCTAGAGGTACAACCTGGGACCTTATCTTCTTTTTTATTCTTACTTTATTTTGTTATTACCTTTTAAAGAGCATTTGGCTACCCATTGTCTTAGTACAAAATACTATGAGCAAACGAACAAACAGAAAAATTCGTTTCCTTAAAAGTGGCCTCCATTTTGCAGAGGGACCAGTGAAACACTGGTTGATGAAAGACCCAAAAGAACAGCTACACAGTCAGTCACACCTGCATCTAGTGCGAGTCTACAGTCTCAATAATAAAGTAGCTACCACACCTGTATCCCGCTTTCAACATAAGTAGTACATCAAACAAAAAGAATGCTGCATACCTACCATACATGCATATTAATTTAAAAGCCATGGTTTTTTAAGTGAATAAATACAGAAAACACTCACTGACTTTACATTAATGACCAGAGTAATGCCATGTTCCAGTAACATGTCCTGAGCAATCCGAGATACTGTTTTCTCAACTAGAACCAATGTGGGTCGAACATCAACTATCCGTTGAACATAATTCTTCAAGAATTCCCTTTCCTAAGAGAGATAAAACAGAAATACAAAACCTGGTAAAATTCAATATTCAAACATATTAAAATATCATGATAATCTGACTTAATATCAATTTTCAATCTAAAATTTTTCCTTCAGAAATAAGTCTGTAAAAAATTCAAATATAACAAAGACTTTTAGTCATAATTCTAAACTAGTCATTATACTTAAAAGTTTTAGAGATGTTTCATCCTCCAATCAATTTTATTTTGAAAGCTTTTCAGTCCCTGAATCTATAGTTTGCTGAAGATGTAGCTCTGTGGGAGAGTACATGCTGAACACACTTAGGGTCCTGTGGATCAACATGTGAGCATGTGTGTATGTGTATGGACAATGAACACTAAGAACCTAGTAGCATAAACTTTTAAGAAACAAAAAGCCTATTCCTACACCTGTTACAATAAAAGCAACTTCTAAGTTTATGTGATTATGAATTTTCTTTTCCATCTGTAATGTACAATCGTCTCTCTCCTAGGAGTCAGAATTAGTAACCCTCAGACAGATGCTACTCCACCTGTTTCCTAACTCCAGTTTCCTAACATCATACCCTACTTCAAACAAATACAACTCAAGTTCTTAATGTGATGCTTAATGTAATCCCACCACAACAGTCGGGCGAGGTAGCACACACCTTTACCCCAGTCCCTGGGAAACAGAGGCATGTGGATCTGAGAGTCTGAGGCAGCAAGGGCTGTTACTCAGAGAAACCCTGTCTGATA